TTTCCATGACTACAGCAATGCTCAGATATGCACACAGGAACAGAGAAAGAGAATGAAAGAAAGCAGATCACATTTGGCACCGGGTACCACAAAAGGCTGACAGAGAAGGGAGCATCCCAAAATCAGACTCATGGCAGCTGCAACCCTGCAGAGGCAGTTTATGACCAAAGAAGCCCTGTCACCATCACTCTTGCCAGCCTTAACATCGGCCACCAGCAGCAGGAGGACCAATTCTTTAGTGGCACCTTATCATTGGGGCCCAACCATGTGTTCTACATCTGTGGCAGGTGCCCAGAAGAAAAGAGAAGCTAGTGTAGGGAGAGTAGAGGTACCCTATCGTGAGGTGCACAGGTGTTTGTTTGTCCTTCAAGATTTTCCAGAGACAGCATGGGACAGTAGCATGTTCTTCCTTCATCTCTGGTGGCTCAGCCTCCATAAAAACAAAATGAACTTAATATACACACAATACTATGATCTAAGCAAATTTCAAGATCCCAGTAATTTGAAGGTACTATCAATACATATAGCTGTAGCCAAAGCATATCTACAGCCAAGCTTATCTACAGGCACCCAAGTAGTTGAAGGCCTGGTTTCAGATAGGATATAATATGGAATTCCTATCATGAAAATATTGTTTTACTATATAAATTTGAGGGAGAAAAAGAAAATAAAGAGTGATGTCATGCCTAGTGGTCTATGCCTGTAATCCCAGATGTCTGGGAAGCTGAGACAGGAGGCGCTTAACTTCAAAGCCTTCTTAGGCTTCAAAGCCTGCCTGGGCAACTTAGTAAGACTACCTCTCAAGATGAAAAACTTTAAAGAGGGCAGGGGGTGTGGCTCAGAAGTCAAATACTTGACTAACATGCATAAGAAGGCTCAGGCTTTGGTCTCCAGCATAAAACCCAACCAACTAAAGACCCTAAGAAGTAAATAAGAAAGGAAAAATATCAACTCAAATACTGACATAATGGAAGTATTAAAATTGTATTATATTTTCTGAAAAAAAATAATGCATGATACACATGCATAATCCTAGCACTTGGGAAGTAGAGGCAGTGGAGATTAGGAGTTCAAGGCCATTATCAACTACATATTTAGTTCAAATCCAGCCTAGGCTACAGAAAAACTAAAAGGAAAAAAAAAAATAAAATAACAAAAGCAAAACTCTGCATCTTTTTTCAGAGGGCTATGGCAGGGAGGGCCTTGACTGGGAGCAGAGGTAGAGCTCAAAGAAGGGGGAGAAGATGCGCCCTGCTTGATACCTAGCCCATGTCAATCACAACTTGGTCTTGACAGAACTGAACTTAAAGCTTGAACAGAATGACCTCAGCTACTGTCAGCCATGTGTGATGTGCAGGGCCAGCTGCTGCCAAGGGCACACACGTGGCCATCTGGGCTCCACACCACAGACCAAAGTGGCAAGGGTAAGCGTTGCAAATAGTTCTGCTATTATTTCAGGATGCTTCTGGGCTGACGCTCACTGCTGCGACAACCACACGAGCAAGCGAGCATGAGCAAGTCGTCATTCCAAACACTCACCACAGTCACAGGAGCCCCTGACAGTCCCCATTCAGAGCATACCCCTCAAGTGGCTCCTCTACCACTGAGCAGATGCTCACCAAGCCTCTGCTACATGTCCCCTGTATGCAGGCTTTGTTCCCGAGGATCCAGAGAAGGACAGGGTAGACTCCAGTCTCCAGGGCGTTGCTGTGATCCCTGGAGAGATGAGCTTTTGAGATGGAGGTTAATTGCTCATGGAGAGGAGGGGACTGTCCCCTGTTCACTGCTGAGGTCCCCTTGGCAGGCAGCAAGGCACAGGAGACCAAATAAAGCATGTGCACAGATCCTCACTCCAGCAGACAGCTGGCGAGGGTATTCCTGACAAGCAGACCTGTTTGCCCATCTGGATGTGGACAGGTGACCCTGTAAGATTACTACTGTCTCTGTCCTGTGCAATAACAACCATGGTTTTGCAAGAGAATGCTCTTTTTAAGTGAAGTGTTCTGGATTGTGAAGAGGAAAAATGGCACACACAATGGATCAGAAATCAGCTTTAAAATATTCAGAAAGAAAAAACCCAGTAGTGGGGCAGGGGAGATGTCTTAGAAGGTCAAGATGCTTGCTGCCAAGACAGATGACCTGAGTTCAATCTCAGGGACCCATATAACTGAAGGAGAAACTGGACTACCCCAAATTGTCCTTTCATCTCTGCACAGGAACTGTAGCACACATGCCCATACATGTATACACAAATAAATGGAAGTTTAAAACAAAAAAGAACTGAAAGAAAAGTAAAAGAAAAGGCCATAAAATTAGAATAACGAACGCAGCATCATTTTAATGGCTGGGGGAGGGCACTGGGGAAGGTGCATGCAGGGCTCATTATGCTACTCTATTTTTTTGTTTGTTTGGTTGATTGGTTGGTTGGTTTGGTTTTTGTTTTTGAAGATAGGGTTTCTCTGTGTAGCTTTGTAGACCAGGCTGGCCTCGAACTCATAGAGATTCACCTGCCTCTGCCTCCTGAGTGCTGGGATTAAAAGCATGCACCACCATCCAGCCATACCACCCTATTTTTCCTGGGAAAAAAGTATGTATGTTTGGTTGGTTGGTTGGTTGGTAGGTTGGTTGGGTTTGTCTTTTTGTTTTGTTTTTGAGATAGCTATGACTGACTTAGAACTCCTATTTTCTAAGTTGGTCTCAAACTTGCAGCAATCCTCTTGCTTCAGCCTCCTCAGGTCATAGGCTGATGATACATACCCACTGTTCTTTGTTGTTATTGAGACAAGGTCTTGCTGTGTAGCTAGGACTATCCCCCAATTCACAATAAAGCCTAGGCTGACCTTGGATCCCTGGATTCTCTGCTTTGACTTTCCTAGTAGCATTTTTTTGACAGGCAACTGCTCTGTATGCTGGTGGATGCCCCGATGAGACTGGTGTGAAAGGAACACACAGCAAAGAGCCAGGAAGACTGTGAGAACCACAGTGGGGTGGAAAGACCTGCTCACCTGCCATTAGGGAACTGGTCAGTATGGAACAGGAGTCCAGAGGGTGTCCAGCATTTCCCTAATTCCTGTGGTGTTTAGCACCCTTCCCAAGCAGCTGGAAGCTGGAATCATCATGAGACCCTAGCAGTTTGATGAGGCCAGTAGCAATCTCTCTGAATCTCAGTTTCCTAATCTGTAAAATGGGCATGGCCCCAACTACTATAGAAGGCTAATATGACATGCTCCTGAGGTAAAGAATGACCAGTCCCAGAATGCAGCATCCTCTTCCAGGCTCTTTAAAGGACAGGGACTGTTAGCATTCTCTCTGCAGACTTCCTGGGTTAGCCATGTTCAGCCCCCTCCAGCCCAGGCAAGACCTCCACCAGGAAGGCAGGACTTCTTCCTTCCTGTGGAGAGTGATCAGAGTCAGGCCTAAGCTGGAAGGCAAACCCAGGTAGAGATGTAGACATGGTTGAGAGAACAGAGACACACATATACCCCCATCACAGGAGGGAAGGATCTGCAACTCCCAGGAATGGGGCTGTTCAAACTGTGGGTTTCAATCACTCAGCAAGTGAAGAAGTATATTTCAAAACTTGCCCCACACCCACTGCAGAAAGAACAATCCTAGAGTTCTTTCAAAGGGTCAACGTTATTTCAGTGAATACAGTTCTAGACTACTGGGAAAGCCAGCCCCACAGAGGTGGCAGCACCACAGTCAACCCCTCCCTAACACTGCCAAAAAGCCCTCCTTTGGAGGACAGTGAGGAGCAGTTTGCAGTGAATCCCGCTGGCACTGGCTGTCCTTTCAAGCACTTTGCAAACTACTCCTGCAATCCCCAGAATCTCTCAATGGCACACACACTCAGCTTATCCTCACAGCCATCAGGCAAGCTGGTAGGCACAGTGCCAGGAGCAGACACAACTCGGGCTTTTTGGAGAGTAAGCACCGGGACCCAGCCTGTGCCCTCTTCCCTGCCTCTGAAGAACACGAACAAGGAATGTTCTAGTGGTCCCATGTTAGATCCACTATCTCCGCTTTGATGACTGGCATGTAGGGGGCACAGGTGCCAGGGAACTCGGGGACGCGAATGCGGAAGGCCAACTAGCCTCTGGCTTTTTACCCTCCGGATCTGTCCATAAAGGGACTGGCTACTGACCTTATCCTCCCACTAAACCACCTAAGACATAGTGGGCAGCGAGTGGCCTTGCAAAAGAGAGCTCTTTCCACTTTAGAAACCCAGGCCCAGAATAAACAATGTGGAAGGAGACACGAGAGTACTCTGGTTTCAACACGCCTCTTCCCGGTCCGGTAAAGGCCCTTCCCAGCTGTGCCGGTGAGGGTGCGGTTGAGACTGAGGCTGGCCTGGGATAAATTAACCCCGCCCTCTCCAGACAGCTGCAGCTGGGGCAAAGGCTGCAAGGGAGACCCCAGCCAAGGCTGGCCAGCCAGTGACTGCGCAGGACCCAAGGATGGGGTGCTCCTGAGCCGGGGATGAGCACAGACTGCCAGCGGTCACAGGATATAGAAGGAACAGAAGCGCGGTCCCTGGAAGCACTGCCACGGGCCAAGTAACTAGCCCGGGTCTCAGCCCGCCGCCGGCCAGGCCACTGACATTTGGCCCAACTTAACTTCCTGTTATCAAGGAGGGAGGAGAAGAAGGGAGGCAGAAAAAAGATAATAGAATAAAAATAAACAAGGTGCTCAGTGAGAGAATGGGAAAGGCACAGGAACCCAGATCGCATGGAGCAGTTTGGGGAAGGATCCCTGAGCGATGACAGGCGACCCTGCTGCCTAAGGGGCGCCCACTCTGCGCTTGTGTGTTGGGTTTCTGAGGATGGCAGTTTTGATTGGTGGAGAGCCCACGGCGCGCCAGACAGGTGGATCTGAGATCGTGGCCGCAGCCGCTGCACCTGACCCTCCGGGGCGCCCGGTAAGGCGCAGAGTCCATCCAGGACTGGCACATTCCCCACCCGCTCCCGCGCGCCACGGAGCCCGCTCCCGCTCCGTCTTACCGAAGGTCTCGCGGGCCTCTGGGCCTCGGGTCAGAGCCTGTCTTGGTCTCTGGCTGCGGGCACAGCGATCCGGAACCCCGCGGGCCGCCTGCCGAGCCCGGAGCGAGCGAGGCGGCCCGGCGAAGGTTGAGCCGGCCGGGTGCCTGCGGTTCTGCGAGCTGCAGAGGACCCGGTTGGGACACGCCCCCTTCAGAGGTTGGGCCAATGACAGGGCCTCTGTGGGCGAGGCTCCGCCCCAGACCTGAAACGAACGGCCAATGGTCACGTAGCGCGGAGCCCACCCCAGGGCCCTCCCAGTCAATCCTAGGCTAGGGAAGGCTACCACCGCTGCAGCCGCGGTCGCACGTGGGCTGAAGCCCAGCCCCAGTCCTGGAAGTGGCCCGTTCCCACCCTGGCCACAGCCCTGGGCTTCTGCGAGGTGAACATCCGGCCTTGGTGTTCTGATGTCCAGGGAGAGGCAAAGGCTGAGCCTCACGATGCTTGGCCTAGGCAGCTGGAAAGCCAGCCTCAAGGTCTGCTTTTGGACTGGAGAGAGCAGCTAAGGGCTTCTAGAGCTGTCTGACCCTCTTGGGCCCTCATTCCTTGCTTTGCTGCGTGCAATTTTCCTTGCTTAGGTCCTGCCTTGAACTGGCCCTACTTTGGCTAAAGCTGTGCAAAAGGGGGTGGTAACACAGACCAGACCATCTGTGTTATCAGATCCATTGCATCTTCTCTTTCTTGGATGTCGAATGGCTAACCTCTGCTTTGCACGCTTTCCTGAGTGGCCGTGCCCTTATCATTTCAGAGAAAATCATGAATGAGTTGTTCAGGGCTGGGAGTCCTGCGAAATCTATGTAATCTTTGTGACAGCAGAGTCCAGGTAAATAGGATTCAAGTGGGCAAGTTCCAAAGCTGACTCTCCCCTGAGGCCCAGAGCCCATCACCCAGCTTGGCCCAATACAGCATCCATAAAATGTTCTTGGAACTGAGCTCACCCAAGAGGAGGAAAGCAGGCAGACTTGGTAGGCAAAAACAAACAGTACCATGACTCCAGGCTGCTGGAATTCCCTGGGTACCACCCTCTAGAGAGGGCAAGTGCAGGCAGCAATTCCCCCCACCCCCAAACCTGGGCCCCATTTTTTTTCTATAGTCTTTGCTGTGTGTTCTTCCTTCCAAAACTTGAAGTTTCTAAAGGTTTGTTTCTCCTTAGCATCCTCAGATTTCAATTCACTTCTGTGGGTTTTATCCCCAGCACTGACCCCACTCAGTTTGTACAACTCACTCATTGCTGACTTTGAGAGGGAGGGCAGATCTCAAACTCACAGCTATCTTGTCTCTCAGCCTCCCAGATGCCAGGATAGCTTGCTGGCGTGTTGCTGGGGTAGCACAGAAGACCTGGCTGCTCAAAAATAAGAATTTACTGATACTTCCTCTCTCCTGCTGTACTCAAGACTTTATCTCATGGGGCTCCGCTGAGAAAGACTCTCACAAGGTAGGTGTGGTGAATTGAGTTTTGACTTAGAAATAGGGCAAACTGGGCATTGATGGGGCTTCCTGTAGAGCAGTGGTTCTCAACCTGTGCATCATGACCGCCAGAAAACACATATTTCTGATGGTCTTAGGAACTGAGGCTCCACTCAGTAGCAGAATTACAGTTATGAAGTAGCAACAAAAATAATTTTATGGCTGGGGGCCCCCACAACATGAGGAACTACATTATTAAAGGGTCACAGCCTTAGGAAGGCTGAGAACCACTGGTGTAGAGAAATTAGGCAAGTCTCATGACTTCTTGAGCCAGAGACTCTTATCCTCTTTCAGACTTCCATTGCAAGCTTCCATTCCAAGCTCCCTGGGGGTGAGGTGAGGAATGAGAAGACTGGGGATAGAAGTGTCAAAACTCAGACCATAGAACAGTCACTATAGAGTGCCCTGCTGGTTTGGGGGTATATATAACTGCCTCAAAGAAAGCATTATGCCATTTTAGGGAGAAACAGTATCTAGCTCCTTTCTTGACAGGTGAATGAATGAATGAATGAATGATGTAGCAGCCCACACTCTGTATTTAACAGCAGTCACTTCCCCAACCTGCTTTTCTATGATGCAGCTTGGGGAGGTTGCCTGGGAGATCCAGATGGCTATTTAGCATCAGAGGGAGGGAGAGAAGGAAGACCCAGATTCAGCCCTAAAAATATCCTCTTCTCCAACTGAAAGAGTGGCCTCTGCAGCTCCAAAGCAGCCCCAGCTGGTGGTCCTGCCATTATTAGCATCCACCTGGCCACCTTCCAAGGGGGTTGCAGAGGTAGCAGGTTTGGTTCCCCTATTTGTAGCCTCCCAGTGTGCTGGAAGCAAGGTTAGTGGGAGCCTGGAGGATCCCCCTCCCAGGGTATTTTCCACAAAGGATGCCTGCCCTCCCCCCTTGCTTTCACTCTTGCCCACAGGAGTGGCACTGTGAGTGTGTGGTTCCCAGGCTGTCTCTAGAGCTGACATCAAAGCTCCTTGGTGTTTCAGGGGGAAGAAGGCTGGTCCCTACAGAGCCCAGTGACCTTGTCAAGTAATGAAAAGTGGCTGATAGGCCCCAGGCCACATTGACAGCTAGCTATCTTTGGAGGACTTTCTACGCCAGGAAGTGGGAGCAGTGCAGCCTCCCCTGGGCATACCCGCCAGTGTGTGAGAAACAAGATCATGGCATCTTGTTCTAGCCTCTTATCATCCGGCAGCCTGCAGAAGGCCCCATTGTTCCTAGACGCACATACAAATGTTCAAGGTCACAAGGAGCCAATCAGGCCCATCACACTTTCAAGTAGATTTTTTGACAGTTTGGGGAAGAAATGGCACCTGCCACCTGAAGGCATCCAGTCCGGATTATCCCTGGAGCCACGCTGTACTTTGGGGGATATATGCACGTGGCTGGAAATGTAAGCAAGTCAGTGCTGGGGTAGCTGAGAGATGTTGTTCTAGGCAGAAAGTGGCTCTACAACAAGGGGTGCTAACTGCAACAGTGGCATCTTGGGTGTGTGGAGGGGCTGGGAGGACACAGGGCCTCACAAATAGTAGGGCCTCAGCCCCAAATAGATTTTTTTTTATTTTGTTTATTTTGGACTATCTGTGAATGTTTTGTTTTGTTTCAGTGTGTTTGTTTCCTAATTGGGACAGGGTCTCTTAAAGTCCAGGCTGGCCTCAAGCTGAGTTTGTGGCTAAAAGATGACCTTAAACACTGGATCCTCCTGCTTCCACCTCTCAAGAGCTATGGAAACAGGCTTGCACTGTCATGGCTGGCTTCAACACAGATCTTCAAAGACAACTGAATCCAAGGGCATCGTTATGGTCCTAGGAGACACAAGAAACCAAGCCCTGGAATTCTCATGGTGGGCAAGGCTGTGGTTACTGGACATATCTGAAGCCCATTCCAGAATGTTCTGTTGTAGCTGAAAGGAACCTGGAGACAGGCTCACACAGTGCTCACACAGTTCTCAACAGTGCTCTCTAACCCTTGGCACAACAGCTGAGTGGGCCAAGGAAAATCCTCTTCTCTATTCTGGTCCACAAAGGAGACTGTCAGCCACCTGTCTGTCTACCCATCACACATCTGTCCCACAAGCATGTATGCCCTGCTTCTCCTAAGAAGAGCCATGGCCAAGCAAGAGGTCGCACATAGTCCCACAGGTTCCAAGCCAAGGTGCCTGGACTGAATCCCAGTTCTACCAAGACTATGCCCCAAACAAGAAGCATAACTTCTCTAGGTAACAGGCACTTCCCCTACAAAAGGGCAACAGTACCAGGGAGATCTGTGCATGGAACAGAGGGAGGTACCTGGTAAGTGATGGGTACAGCTCCTTTGAGTTAATCAGTTGTCCCTAAGATGAACAGAATTAGATAAGCAATTCTAGGTCAGAGACCTGGCTAGTTCCCAGCATCACACCTGGGCATGTGTTAGATTCTCAGTGTATTTTGAGGTAGGTACCATTATCATCCACATTTGAGGGGTAAGAGACTAGCATCTTGGAGAAGTGGAGCCCTGACCTGACATCTCCTTGGGGCTAGCACACAACTGAGGGGTAAACAACTGTTGGAACACAAACCTGTGCTCCAGTGTCATTTACTTTATAAAATCTTTATGCATGTGTGAATGTACCTGTGAATGCTGCTATGGGTTCCATGGCACGGTGCAAGTTGGGGGACAACCCCAGCTTTCCACCTTGTTTGAGACCAAGTTTCTTGTTCCATGCTGCCCATGCCAGACCAGCTGGCCTGTGAGCTTCTGTGCTCCTCCTGTCTGCTTGCTGTCTCATGATAGGAATGACGGGGCATAGAGATGTGCTTCTGTGTTTGGCTATATGAGGGCTCTGGGGATCTGGACTCAGGTCTTCACACTTGTCTGGCAACAGCAAACCACCTCTCACAATGCACAATTTTACATGGATCTCACTCAGATGCTCATGCCTTGCAAGGTAAGTTCTTTGTCAATTGAGCCATCTCAATTGTTAGTACGTGCATGCTTATTCATGTGTATGTGTGTGGGGGGGTGTTGTTGGCTTTTGTTTGCTTGAGACAGAGTCTCACTCTACACCCATACTGCCTAGCACTATGTATCCCAGATGGATTACAGGCATGAGCCACTGTACCCATGTACCCATGTGCTCATATCATTTCTGATTTTCTTTGCTTCCCAGCTGCCATGCAGTGAAGAGGCCTCTGTGCCACATGTCCCCGACATGTTGTAGTGTGCAGCCACAAACCCAAAGAAACAAGGCCAAGCAGTCAGACTGAAACCATGAGCCCTAACAAACCTTCCCCTCTGGTAAGTTTATTGTCTCAGGTATTTTCTCACAGCCACAGAAAGCTGCCTATCACACTGCTCACCTAGGCTCCCACAATCAAACCTCCTGAGAGGAGTCACAGTATAGCACTCACCATGGGCAACCCAGTCACCAGAAGTGCCCATTGCTTAAACAGTAACCAGCATTCGGTGGGGGATTATAAATGTTTGCTGGAGGACTAAATGAGGAAACAACTTTTTCCCATGGCCTCCATGGTTGTGTGGCCCAGACACTGCCCTGAAAAAGCTGGTTTTCTGAAATGTAATAAAACAAGTAAGAGGGCTAAGGATGTAGCTCAGCAGTAGTGTTTGTCTGATATACACAAAGCCCCAGAACCAGAAGTAAGTGCACCACTAAGTGAGATGT